ATTTATTTGTATGCGCGCAGAAAAAGTAGAATAAATTATAAAAATTGAAAAAATAATTTCGCTACCATTTTTTTTTTGATTTAATTTTAAAATATTTTTTTTTTTTGAATTTTTTTTTTTAAATTACTATGATTACAATTTTTATTATAAAAAAAGTTTCCTTTTGACAGGCAACCCCCATGTTTGTTTGTACAGATTCGTATATCTCGAAAAGTTATTCACCGATTGACTTCAAATTTCGTCAGATTATTTCGACGGTTGCTTGTAGGTTTAGAATTTTCGGGAGTTGAATCAGGGACTGACCTTTTCAAAAATATTGCATTTATATTGTTGTGGTTTTTGTTGTTGCTGCTGTTGTTATAGCGATTCGTTAGCCCCGCTGAGGAGCAAGCAAGTTCAGTCTAAGTCATCGAGATCATCAAACGGGAAGTGCAGGAAACGAGCTGATTCGGCGAGTTCAGATCGAAGAGAAAGGAGAGTTAGATGAGTTCGTTTTAGGAGGGCATGTGAAGAGGTAGTTAAGATCGGGCGGAGACTCATTGCATGTAAGATATATGTTGGGTATGTCGGGTCAAGTCTGGAGGGATTGGAGCTTAATCGACTACAGTATTTGGATCTTAATTGTGCCACTATTATGTGGAATTGTCGAGGCAGCTCGCGCTTGTTGTCTGCAATTGTGGTGATTTGACTCCGAAGACGCTATTTACTTGACGAGAGTTAAGAAAGGTGTTGACGGACCCTCGGTTTAGGTAAGCCATTCTGTCCAGTGGTTCTTGTAAGTGGTGTTGAATGCAGTCCTTAAAGTCGATTGCTCACTTCTTGATGTGCTAGGTGCTTGGTTGGCATCTATTAAGTATCTGGTGAGTTCCTGCCGATGTCAACATCTCAGCAGATATGGGTTGCCCATCAGTAAATATTGCTCCTTAAGCTGTCCCGCTGTGTAAGGGCTGCTCTGACGACATCAGAAGGTTTCCGTTACTGCAGGCGGTGTTTTAGCAGACCTTTAGCTCACGACCAGTCGGCCAATTGCCTTGTATGATTGCCGAATGAGATTTCCAATAACTTCGGGTTGTTAACAGTCACAAATTTACGTAATCAACCAATATTCCTGCGACCAGGTGGTGAAAAGGGTAGCCGAGGATTTCACAGGTTTTAGTTGTCATTTTCTTGCAGTGAAGAAGTGAGAAAGGTCGTCGAAGTAGTACTTTCAGACATAAGTCATCAATATCCTTGCCAGAAAATCAACGGCATATGATAAAGGGAGCTTCGGGATATAGAAGTTAATAAGCAGTGGGAAGAGGACACCACCTTGCGGAATACCTTTTTTAACCTTTCCGATTTGTGATTGTCAACCACTCAGGTAGCACATGGTCTACCTCTTGCATTCGGCGGTAATGATTTAACAGTGTCAAAAGCTTTTGACAGTCATGTCGGTTTTGGCCTACGACCATTGAGTATCTGGGTTCTTATGACGTTAAGTGCAGTTGTGGTGCTTTGCAGTTGGTGTACGATAGATGAGAGCAGAAAAGCCCCATGAGTCTATGCTACTGGGGAGAGGAGAGACAGTTAGGGCTACGCACAGATTTTTACGCAAGAAAGGGGAGTGGTGATATATATATATTTTTATAGATTAAAAATTTTTCTCAGCTCAGAACTTTCAATTGTATATATATATATATCATATATATTTATATATATATATCTCTGTTAAAAAAGTACAAATCATGCATACTCGCATATTTATCATTAAATAATTATTCGTGGTCGTTTTGTGTGGCATGCCACAATTTAATCGAAATAAGAGTCTTTCGCGCGCAGCTTCAAAAGAGCTCAATGTTTATATGTTGAATTATATATTAATTATATTAAATGCAAAATTTATGGAATCACAAGCGTTGAGCTACACCCTTGCTAATTAATTTACCATGAAATAATGTAATTAATATAAAATATTTGCAAAATGTTGCTGATTGTAAATTAATTTAAAGTAGCATTAATTTATACAAATATGTACCAAAAGGATATTTTCCATTTATTACTAATTGAATTATTTAAATTGTATGTTCAGTGAAAATTCACTGCTTTCTGGTAAATAAAAGTTCAAGTGATTTATTCCATTGAAATTTGTTTCGCCAAAGAATTTGTTGTTTTCAAGATTAATTTTAATCAGCTCTAGCTTATATAAGGTATCAATTTGCTTTCTAAGTTAGGATGCGGGTGCGTTGTTATCACCACGAAATTTAGTACGAAAATAAAATAAAATGATTTATAAGGACACCAATCTCAGTGGAAATCTCGCAAATCTCGGTTTGAAGATATAATATTATTGTACTATCTGAAGTCTCAGCTCGTTGTACTTTTTATTGTGTAGGCAGCAATTGGCTGCGAGCTTAGTGATAGCTTCTCCCTATGTGAAATATTAAATTATTAATATTTTTTTGTAAAATTATTTATAAAAAAATTAAAAAAAAAATTCCTAAGAAATCACTTTAATTATAATGGTTTGGTTTATAATTAGCTAGTCACAAAAATGACTGTTTGGTTCATATGTCAAATACATAGGTGACTGACTGATGTATTTATTCATTTGTGATAAATGGAATTAATCTTTTTAAACTCACATTATTTATTTGCTTTGAAATTTGACGGATGGTTTATAGTCTTTGTTTCGTTTAAAAGTAATTTCCACAATTTTTAATACATGGTATGAGGCTTTGCTAAATTAGCTCCTAAATGTAGGCAACGTTTTGCTGTACTTTACTATTTTTATACGATAGAAAAATGAAACGTTGCCTACATTTAGCAGAATAATCATAAAGAACTTGTTTTTAGTTTTAATCGAAATGTGGATATGAACTTAAATACATCAAAGAGCGACAGTTACAGAAGTAATATTCAAGAGATGTCTGAAGTCTATGATTGAAAAGAGCACTGCTTAGAAAAGGCTGCAATGGCCTATTACTGTTGAGAGCATCGGAGAATAGAGTTCACAGTCCATCGTTTCATCGCACTTTAAATCATCTGTCAAGATGTTTATGACTTCCTACTCGAGGGTGTTTGTGTTTTCTCATTCGTCCCTATTTGGGATTTTTGTGAAAAAGAGATTGTCGCAGCATATACTGGTGGTGGTATAATTCAGCTCCCTCGGATTATCAGCAAAAGAGTTTGCACTATACTATTGTGGCTTCCCATCTGATTGCTTGCAGTATGTCATACAAGTTCAGCGGATGGAAGTCGAAGAGAGTTAGCAGTGCATGTTAGCTGATTAATTCGTATTTACTCATGAATGTAATTTTTTCGAGTGACCAGCTTCATATGCTTTTGTAGGAAAAGATTGTTACCTATAATATGATTCTTACTACCTTCATTCTTAATCTTAGTATTAAACTTACTTTTACCCATTATCTTATAGTTATAATAGCCTATTACCATGGTGTTTACTCTACTATTACAAATACTTTAATAATTACCATTACCGCTGTCATTACCATTACTATAACAATAACCTTTACAATTACTAATACGATTACCATTATCATTAGCAGTATGATTACCATTATCATTAGCAGTATGATTATCTTTAGCCTTGCTTTTACCACTACTAATTATTAATAACTAATTATCCACAAAATTAATTAATCATTACCAAAAAAACAAATTACTATTATTGTAATTACTATAGCGTTTACCATTATCATTAATATATCATTACAATTACAATTAATTACTAACTAATTACTAGCGAAATTCACAAAATACGATTGCCAATATCATTACTCAAGCGATTACCTTCAACATTACCAATAATATTACTGTTAATAAATAACTAATTCCCAATGAAATTGCCAATACGAATACCATTACCATTACAAATACGATTATCAATACAATTACCATTGCCATTACAAATGCGATTAGCAAAACGATTCCCAATACCATTAATAATACGATTATCATTACAATTACCATTACCAGTACAAATACGATTAGCATTACCATTACCAATACGGTTATCACTACCATTACGAATTAGGTTATCATTACCATTACCAATACGATTGCCATTACCATTACTATAACGATTAGCAATACAATTACCATTACCATTAAAAATGCGATTAGCAATACGATTCTCAATACCAATACCATTACCAATATGATTATCTTTAACTTAACTATTGCCACAACTATTGATTAATAACTAGTTATTCATAAAATTTGCCATACGTTAACCATTACCATTGCCAATACCATTACCATCAATTAACATATCATTACCAAAAACAAATTCCAATACGATTACCATTGCCATTACCAATATAATTACCTTCAATATTACCATTACCATCAATAAGATTTCCGTTACCATTACCATTACAATATGGTAATCATATTGGTAATTGATTACTATTACCAATACGATTTCCATTATTATTTCTAACACGATGACCATTACCATTACCAATATAATTACCTTCAATATTACCATTACCATCACTATACTATTACCACTGCTAGTACAACTACCAATAAATTTCTAACACTTTCCCTTCCTGCTTTCAACGCTATAAGCTCATTCCAACACACTCACTATGAAATCACTTTCAATCAAACAGATTTAAACAATTGAATTATAAAAATCAATTCACTTAAACTACTTAATTACTTACAACATTTGCATTTGCTATGACAATTGCATAATAAATTCATTTGATTTATATACAATTATTTAGCATGTATGTATAAATATGTATATACGTGTATGCATTAACTGACGTCAACAATGCTTAATTGCATTTATCTAAGGGCGGACAATATGTTACATATACACATATAAATATGTATTAATCTATGTAACTAAAGTGTGAATGTATGAATTTTATTTTTTGAATATTTATTTTGTTTACTAATATTTTGAATATAATGGAATAATTGTGTATTTTAACCCACAATATTTATTTCAATATTTTTAATTTTCTACTTTTTACTTTAATTTCCAGATTTACGCAGAATTCGCTTAATACGGTTCGTAGCACAAAAATAAGGCAAAATGGTGAGTTCAAAATTTACATTTTTTGCAGGTAATTTAAATTTCTCTTCAATTATTATACTCAAATACAATTACTACTATGATAATCTTAAGGTCCTTGGCAATTTACTCTTTATTTTAAACCGTGAAAACAGGCCAGGTGCCACAAAAAATTTTATATCCAATGTTACATCATTTCTTTTCTTCGCCTCCCATAAAGCGACCTTAATTAATTGCCAAAAAAAAAAAAAAAAAAAACAAAAAAATTAACAAATATACATCAAAAAATAGAAAAAAAGAAATGTATAGAAAACCTTTTTTATAGTAATATTAAATAACCGAAGATAATGCGTAGTTTTTTCAAAAAAAAAAAAAAAAAAAATTAACTTGAACCCAATTTTTCACTTAAATTCTTTATCATTTTTCTTTCTTTCCATTTCTTTTCTACTCGTTTTACATCATTTTTACATTTTGAAGAAAAACAAGCAGCGCAAAACAACTAATTAAGTTCTCTGAAATCACAAGTTAATTAGCTGCTAAAAATTTGGTACCAAATAAGAAAACACTGCCGTCTTATACCAACAAAAAAGTGAAATTAAATAAGTGAAACAGGGAGCCAAATATGCGCTTTAATTGCGAAAGTGAGAAAAAAATTATACTTGAAATGATAAATTACAAAGTAAGCAACTGCTCCAAAGCAAAGCGAAGGAATGCGTAAGAAAATCACAAGATTTAAGCAAAAATAAAGGGTTATCCAATAAGGGATGGTATTTAAAATAGCCTGTAAGAACTATGCCAATGGTAAAATAGAACTATATACGCCTCATCAACGCATTGATATTATTAAAATTCACTATAAAAATTTCATCAAAAAATCAGCTTGACTGACGAGATCCATTTCCACCTCGTTGGCTACATCAATAAGTAAAACTGTCGCATCTGTGGTTCGGTAAAGCAAAGTTTTTTTGTGGAACAGCCTTTCCATCCGCAACTGTTTGATGCAGTTTATAGTCCGGCGAGGTCATGGGACCTTATTTTTTTCAAAATGAGGTTAGAGCAACAGTTAAGGTGAATGGATTGCGCTCGGGAGAGATGAAGCTGTTGAGGGCATACATCAGCCATAAAAAGAATACGTCACTGTAAGCGTAGCCATGGCGGCCATTTGGCTGATATTCCTTTTTACATTGAAATAAATGTCCGACCATTTATCACAAAAAATCACATTTTTTTTTATTTTAAAAATAACACGTTTTTTTACTTAGATATTTGATTTTAAAGTCGCAGTAAAATGCATACAATTTAATGTTATTTTTGTTAAAAAGACCAGAGCTAACCATTTTGTTTTAAAAATTATTTCGGGGAATATATCCAGAGTTCCCATTTTGTTTCAAAAATTATTTCAGACAAGTACCCAAATAAATCCCAGCCGAGAGGCCCAATTTTCAATCACTTTTTGCAGCAATAACCTGGCGAATGCTCTCTTTCAAGGCGTCAATCGTCTGGGGTTTATCTGCAGCACAGTCTTTGTCTTGAGGGAATCAGTGAAAAAAATCTGAATTTTAATTAATATTATTTTGGTTAAAAAATTATAGCAGATTCAATTTTGGAACATAAAGATATTTTTTTTAACAGTCAAAGCAAAATATAAATAAATTAAATTTTTTTTTAATAATTCGAAATTTCTAAGGATTTTTAACAAATAACCAAAGTTTTCAAATTAACCGCCGTGAGTACATAAATATGCTTATAAATTTCAAACTTGACACTCAATTACGGTTGCTTTTTTTTTGTTTTTGCCTATATATGGCTATAAATAGAAGTAGAAATTTACAACCTACAAATATATAAATAAATATCCGACTAATGGAAATTCGCACTGACGTCATTGTTCTATTATTATTTTCAGAAAATATGGCCGCTAAAAGTTAAATAAGAAATTTTTCCTTGAAATATTTAATTAATTCGTTTCATATTGAAAAAAATTGTTTTTGTTGACGTCATCAAATTATCAGATTCTTATATTAGGCCTTTTTAATTTGTGTAATGATTTCGACTGAGTCAATAAGAGCACGACAATCGTAACTTTTTTCACAGTTAGGCGTCAATTGAGGGCGTTAAGTGTAAGCAGAACACCTCGATAGCTAATTTTTCAAACGTAGAGGTGGTCTCCTTCTTCCTCTGCTTCCTCCGGCGGCTGTATCTACATATGAGTCGTATATGTGGGCCACATAACCCAGATTTCTTTTCTGATCTCTTTTCAAGCTATTCTTCTGAAATTTTCTATTTCGATCTCAGTAACGCTTTTTCACCAAACAATAAAAAAGATATGATAAGAAACTTGATTTGATTTGATTTTTGCCCGTCTCGAAAGGAGTTGTAACTCTGTTGAAACATGGCTGGGGCATATAAGTGTTATGGGAACATATCAAATTCAAGCAAAGCGACATTGCCTTCGGGTAAATTAAAAAATTAAATTATCAATGAGGCATTTGGTATTTCTTGTTTTCTGGCTGCGCTCTTCCAAGACACAGCGCTTATGTGAAGGCACACTGCTAAGGTCCAAACCGTTTATGGATGATGAGCTTTAAGCTTTCGCACCAAACAGCCTACCTTATAGACAATGTCGTGATGGCTACGGTAATTCCAAACTAATTGACTCTGCGGCAATTACCCTCTTTGCGGAATGAGTAGAGGAAGCCCAGCCTTCAATCGTCGGGCATGTTTTTATTCGGTGATTTATTGCAAGGAAACTCATAGTTGCCACTTTTTCGTCACCAGTGGACAATTCGTGTCGCCGATTTGTCATTCTTCAGTCGGGCAAAGCTGTTCCATCTTCATCGATTTGGCGTTCGCACCCGCCATCTCCTGGTGCTTCACATTCCCTCCCTATTTAGTATGTTAAAGAAGTGCTCCCTATTTAAATCCAGTATACTCTGATCTTGAATCGCTATTACATCTATTTAGGTTCTTACTTTCAAGAGCTTCTTATAATCGTCATAGTTTTACTTAGAACTTTCGCCCAGTTTTCCAAGCCCTTCATGCTTACGTATTTCACCTTCGCGCTTTTTCTGTCCGAAAAACAGATCTCGCTTTCCTTAACAACTCTCCATATCTAGTGGTAGCCTTCACCGTATCACCATTGTGGAAGACGCACCGCTTCCTTGGCGGCTGTACATAGGAAGTTAGAAATGCGTTTTCACACGCTCCCAGTATCGTTTTGCTTATGAGAACTCTCATAGTACAGGAGTGCAAGTCAAGTGGATAATAATTTGGCTGCCTGTTTTGATGAAAGCATCTTCGACGTCGAACCTACCCTCTATTGGTTGATGCACGTTCTTTGCTGACACAAGCTTTTAATGCAATATTAGTGCTTCGAATACTGGATACTTATCGTCTACCTACCACATCATGAGCGTCCTGATTTCGAGTTTTTCTATATAGTGTCGGCCAAGTAAGTTGATGAACGGTATTTCACACTCCATATTCTTATGAAGTCTAATTTGCTTCTGGTTTTATGAGTTCATCATTAGCCACACCATTGTTGAGAAAATGCTACAAAAAGACGCTCGTAAATCCTTAAACCGAATATATGTCAGAGAGGCTCCGCTAAAGCTGGCTCTACTTCCGTCGTAGCAGGCTTGTTACCGCATCTCGCACAGTTGCTCATGTTACCATAGTGTGGAATGGATGGCTGAAATCTGGTACAAAAAAGATTTGGATATCTTAAAGTCGACCAACTATTTATTCAGCTTCAATTTGTTGCGCCAAAGATACCCTTTAATAGCATAACAAAAAAAATTATTATTGAGCACTAATTAAAGCTCATTGATTATTTAATTAGAGTCTTTTTCACTGAAATATTAATGCTTTTAATAAAAAATAAAATAAATTTAAAAATCAAAGGAAATTAAAAATTAAATAAAATAAAAATTGGTAAATAAAAAAGGTGACTAATCTCATTTCCATTAGTACTAATAAATAACGAAGCAAACACTAATACAATTTTGTACTTGAAAATCATAACAAAATTATTACTCATTAAATTTTAATTTTTAATTACATAATAAATTGGCAGCATGTAAATATTTTCGAATATCTAGTACCACACAGTTGCCATAACTTATTTGAGATTTTTGTTTTATTTATTTTGTTTATAGTTTATAATTAAAATGCAACTCAATTAAGATTTAGTGAATTAAAAAATAAATAAATAAATAACAATAATATACTTATAATCAAATATTTGCCTGTACTCATTAATAACAACATTTTAGCAATTTATTTTATGAAAATTACTCAAATATCGAAATGGGTTAGCGCGCCTGTGTCGAGGCGAGGGACATGACATTAGTGAAAGCGTTGAAAATGCTGCTCAAGCACCTCTCTGTCACTCACACCCACTTCATGTCACCACACTTTTGTATCATACGCATTCTCTATCTCCCTGTCACTCTCTCTCTCTCTCTCTCTCTCTCTCACTATATCTCTCCAGGGTCATGCCTGTGATTGCGCGTAATATTATGAAAATCCTTAATTAATTGAAAATTATAGTATATGCATCATCATACATACATACAAACATACATATATACGTAGGTATTTGCGCTTGTCTATGAATTTTGTGTGCGTATGTGTGTGTGTGTGTGCACAAATTTGTTCACCTTATGTACACTAATAAATTACTAATACTAATTGGAAACATGAAACGACAAATTCGTTTAGAATCCGCGGGGAGTCAAAGCGTCGCCAAAACAGAGGGAATTTGCTGTCTAAAATGCACCAATACATACGCACACACCGACACAGCAACCTGCATGTGCATTGTATACATATATAATATCTGTATTTTAAGTGTTTAAATTTGGTAAATTCCAAAAACCGCAAAGCAAACATAAATCAATTGCAATTGTCCATGTAACGCCCGAAAGTTTACATGTAGTGACGCCCCCTCGCCTACACTTATGTATGTGTGTACATACAAGCAAACAAATAAAATTAACAAACAATGTTGTAGTTGTTTTTTT